TCCACTCCACTCTTCTTGCACAAGATGGCTTTGGCAATATGAGGTCTTTAATGATTACAGACAGATTCTATGATTGTCTTTTCTAGATCTGTGAAGAATGTCTCTGGTATTTTGATTGGAATTGGTTAAATATGTAGATTTAATTTGGGTAGAATTGTCATTTGATTATGTTAATTTTTCCAGTCCAGGAACATGGGCTGTCCTTCCACTTTTTTATGTCCTTTTCAATATCTTTTTAAAGATTTTCATAGTTTTCTTTGTAAAGGTCTTTGACTTCCTTAGTTAGGTTTATCCTTAGATATCTTGTACATTTTTTTTTTTTTGGACAGGTTTTTGTTATAGAGCGTATGCGCTAGCCAGAAGGACAGAGAGAGACAGAGAGATAGAAAGTGAGAAATCACCCCCCGGGGGGATGGCTACGCCACAGTCCCTTTTCCTCCATTCTCCTCTCAGGATCTTGGGCATCCACGCACACATGCCCAGCGTGAGTTTAAGCCACCAGGTCCGGGACTCGAACTGAGGTCAACTACATGGGAGACAAGCGGCATAGCTATTATGCCAACTGCTGATCCCTTTCCACTACTTTTTAATATAGTGCTGGAATTCTTGGCCCATGCAATCAGAAAAGAAAACACTTTACTATATTCATTTATTACTTCGAGAAGTTCTTTCATGGAAACCTTTGGGTATTCTAAATATACCATCATGTCACCTACAAATAGAGATATTTTCAACTCTTCTTTGCCTATTTGAATGCCTTTTATAGTGTTTTCTTTTCTGATTGCATGGGCCAAGAATTCCAGCACTATATTAAAAAGTAGTGGAAAGGGATCAGTAGTTAGTGTAATGGCTATGTCGCTGAACTCCCATGTAGTTGACTGCAGTTTGAGTCCTGGACCTGGTGGCTTACACTCATGTTGGGCATGTAGGCGTGCATGCCCAAGATCCCGAGAAGAGAATGGAGAAGGGACTGTGGCATGGCCATCCCTCCTGAGGGGTGATTTCTCGCTTTCTGTCTCTGCCTCTCTCTGTCTCTGGTGAGCACACATGTCCTATAGCAAAAACCTCTCCATAAAAAAAAAAAAAAGTGGAGAAAGTGGGCAGCCTTGTATAGTACCAGTTTTTAAGTGGAAAAACTTAGCTTTTTTCCATTCAGTATAATGTTAGTTACAGGTTTTTCATAGATGGCTTTTATTGTGTTAAGAAATGACCCTTTTATACCATTCTTAGAGTCTTAATCATGGAAGGTATTGTATTTTATCTAATGCTTTCTCTGTATGAATTGAAATGATCATATGGTTTTTATCTTTCTTTCTGTTCATATGATGTATTATATTTATGGTCTTGTGTATGTTGAACCACCTTTGCATCCCTGGGATAAAGCCTACCTGGTCGTGATAAATAATCTTTGTTATACGTTGTTGGATATAATTTGCAAATATTTTGTTGAGAATTTTTGCATCTATGTTCATGAGAGATATTGGCCTGTAGTTTTTCATTTTTGCCATGTTCTTTTCTGTTTGGGGATAATGGATGCTTTATAAAGCATTCTCTTTTTTTGAGAAATTTTATCTATTGATATATCTGTAACTTCTACCATCACTATCAGGTAATGAATCACAAGTCCAGGTTTCTAATCTTAACTTTACTTCTAAATTCACAAACTCCTAGTCTTTCTTTTCTGACAAATACATATTAACAGAGTGGGGAAGTGGGAAAAAGCACCCCCCAGTGGGGTGTTGGTTGTGCCACAATCCCTTCTCCATCTCTCCATTCTGTTGGGATTTTGGGCATGAACACACATATGCCTGGTGTATTTTTCAAGCTGTAGGGGCTGACTTGAACTGCAGTTGACCTTGTGGCATCTGGTTTCCACCAGTTACCAGGCTATGAGGCCAGCCCAAGATCTATTCTTTATCTAAAGACCATCTCAAATTTTACTTCCTAAAATTGTCTATTATATTTTTTTCATGAATCATTGAACTTTGTATACCTTTCTTTCTCTTCCCTCTAAAGTATGAAACTTTCTTTAAAAGTTTATTTCTTTCATGTGAGAAAAAGGGAGAGAGGAAGAGGGAGACAGGTACCCTCAACAGGAGGTTTCATGTCCGGATTCTCCCCCAAGCCTTGTAGCCAGCCAATATTACAGGAGTGTCTGCATGACTGTTCAGGTATAGCCCACGCCTAGGGATGCAGACCTGGGGCTTTTCCATATGGCTGCAGCATCATCCAGCAGTGCTCTACTGCCTTATGCCATCACAACCAGGCCTGAAGTGTAACTGCTGTATCCATCCAGCATAGGTCTTGAAGTTTGGAGTTCTCAATAAATGTCTAAATTGAGCAGAATGGCTCTCTCTCATCTAACGTTTCTTTTTTTTAGGAGAGGTTTTTGCTATAGGGCACATGTGCTTGCCAGAAAGACAGAGAGAGACAGAGAGACAGAAAGTGAGAAATCACCCCCTCTTAGGGGGGATGACCATGTTGCAGTCCCTTCTCTTCCATTCTCATCTTGGGCACACACGCACACGCACCCTGTGTGAGTTTAAGCCACCGGGTCTAGCCGCAATCCCTTCTCTTCCATTCTCATCTTGGGCACACATGCACACGCGCCCTGTGTGAGTTTAAGCCACCGGGTCTAGGACCCGAACCGCGGTCGGCTACATGGGAATCCAGTGACACAGCCATTAAGCCAACTGCTTCTCCCTCTCATCTAATGTTTCTGCTGGCTCAATAAGATCTATTGATATTCGGGAGAGGCCTCTAACTCAAGAGGGAAATTAAACAATGATAATTAATACAAGAATAAAACATAAGGGAATTTGGAGAAAAAGGAATTTAAGATTTAAATCATTAAAGAAGGTGTGAGAAGATTTTGAATGTAAAAGAGAAAGAGTTGGGAGGAAAATGAGAATTAGCAGAGGAAGGGGAAAACCAGCAGGTGGCATGGTGTTTAAGGCTCTGGACATTCTCACATGGCCACGCTTCAAGTCCTAATTCCTGTGGCTTGCTTTCTTACTTTCTCTCTCTCTGTCTCTCTCTGGTCAAATTAAAATAAATGAATGAATAAATAAAATTGAGTAAATAATTTTTTTTTTGAGAGGTTTTTGCTATAGGGTGCGTGCACTCGCCAGACAGAGAGAAAGAGAGATAGAAAGCGAGAAATCATCCCCCAGGGGGGATGACCATGCTGCAATCCCTTCTCTTCCATTCTCCTCTCGGGATCTTGGGCATGCACGCACATGCGCCTGGTGTGAGTTTAAGCCACCGGGTCCGGGACACGAACCGCGGTCGACTACGTGGGAGTCCAGCGACATAGCCATTACGCTAACTGCTGGTCCCTAGTAAATAATTTCTTAAAAAAAAAAAAAAAAGAATTTGTAGAGGGAAGCTACTTTGTGAGCTATGGCAAGAAGAGTATATGCCAGTACTTGGTATTTGAGGATGAACAGTACTGTAGTTAGAGGTGGTTGGCACCATTAAAAAAAAAATGTTTATATAGATTACTAGTGTGAACCAATGAAATGGGGCACTGGTGAGTGAGATGATTGAGCTGTAATCTCAACTCTTTTTCTTAGCTGTATGACTTTAGCAAGCAGCCTCTTTGTCTTGGCTTCCTCATCTGTCAGCTGGAGATTTATTTATATGATAGAGGATGATTTGTCTAGCTCAAAGGTACATCCAGAGAGTGAGATAATGTATGTGGGACAAAAAATGGAAACAAGTAGGAGGCATTATTTTATAAATCATTACTGTTTGTAATTCTAAATATATTAGCATTGTTTGTTGCTTTTTCTGATTCTTACTACCAACAGCCCAGAGAAGTGATCATCTTCAAATATGTATTTTAAATGGCTATTATCTTTTTATTATAGTAAAAGGATTAGCTTTCTAATTTCTTATTAAATTTCTTTTAATTGCCTTAAATTCAGAATAAAGTGAGTTGGTTTCTGGATTTGTTTTAGCATATTTGAATTATGCCAAAAATCCATAATATTGGAAAAAGTAAAATATTATTAATTTTTGTTTTAAACAATCCTAGGTCTAAAAAAAAAGATAATATCATTAAAATACAGCTTAGGAACCAGCAGATGGCATAATGGTTAAGCTTCTAGATTCCCCCATGACTGACTGTGGTTCGAATCCTGGACCTGGAGGCTTGAAACTCATTCCAGGTGTGCATGTGTGCCAAAAATTCCATGAAGAGAACTGAGAAGAGATTGTGGCATAGCCATCCCCCCCCATGGGGAGCGATTTCTTGCTTTCTGTCTCTCTCCATTTCTTGGGCGAGTGCACATGCCCTTTAGCAAAAATCTCTCTTAAAAAAAAATTCAGCTTATGTTTTTTCTTCAGAATGTTATGCTAGAGGAAATATATAAGAAAAATGTTCTTTTCATGTGTATATTGGCCAATACGGCTCAGATTTTAACATAATTATTAGAAGTATTACATCCTTGTAAAATAGGGAATTCCTTTAAATTAATTGATTTGTGGGGTCAGCAGGTGGCATGGTGGTTGAGTGACCCAGGGATCCCACATGGCCAACTGAGCAGTTAGAGTCCTAACCTCAGTGGCTTGAAAAACATGCCGGGCACCTGTTCGTATGTGCCCAAAATTCTGAGAGGAAAATGGAGTAGAAGGGATGGCAGTGTGACCAGCCCCCCTGGGTGGTGGTGGTGATTTTTTTCACTTTCTGTCTTTCACCATGGCCAGCATACATACCCTGTAGCAAAAAAAACTGAAGGAAAAAAAATGACAAATTCTGTTAGTAATTTTATTTTGAAAATAACATTAAAATGACATGGGATTGAATGAGAAACTCTTGAGGTTCAGAGTTATTAGTATAGTAAAATTGCTACTTAAATGAAATGTTTCAATTACATTTTACAAAATAAAATTGAATAAATTATTTGAACATTATTTTCTGATTTAACATCATCATTCACTGCAGAATTTTTTTGTGTGTGTATGTGTGTATGTGTCTGGTTCTTTTCTTTTAACAGCCAGAAATCACTGTGGAAAATCTTCCTAGTTATTTAAGGCTTCAGAAACCATTACTCATTTTGTTTAGTGATGGCAGCATAAATCCCCAATATAATAAAGCAATATTAACACTGGTGAAGCAGAAATACTTGGATTCACTTACTCCTTGTTGGGTAAATCTGTGAGTATATTTTTGTTTTTTTTAGTATGTAAAAGGTAAGGAAAGTATAATTTGTATTACATTTTCATTAGGAAATAATGTAATAATATTATGGGATCAAATATGTCATCATATTTTAGTAGCTAAACTCGCATAGATAAGCTTCAATGTGACCTTATTTTACATTATATTTTGCTCTATAATAAGTTTTTTAAAGTAATTTATTTCTGATTTTAAAAGTAATTAATGTCTATTGAGAAAATTTGGCAAACATAGAAAAGTAAACATTATAATATTTTGGCATTTTCCTTCAGTTCCTTTTCTGTAATTCTGTACTTTTAGAATCCAGCCCATAATGTTACAGAAAGGTTTCAGTGTATTCATCAACAGTATTTCCTGAAATGTTTTCTAGGTGTATGGCTTGTGTTAGTTAACATTTAATGTCTGTGAGCACAGTTCACACATACACACTATCCCTTGTTCAAATTTATCACATGAAAGACATTGTATTTTTTAACTCCTTTGAAAAGTTATAAAAATGGACTGGGTGGTGTGGTGGCTAAGGCTTCTGGATCTAACATAGTAGACTACATAGTTTGAGTCTTGGACTTTGCTTGAAAAACACACCGGGAGAGTGTGTGTGTGTGTGTGTGTGTGTGTGTGCGTGTGTGTGTGTGTGCCCCAAATCCTGAGAGGAAGGTAGAGAAGGGATCGGTGGTTTGGCCATTGCCCTGGGGTGTGCTTTCTCATTTCACCTACCCGTCTCCCTGAGCAGTGCATGGCAAATTAAAACAAAAACAAAAACAAAACCCCAAATTAAACAGTGTGCATTTTTTGCTGTGAAGAGTTTCATTAATAGTATATCCTACTGCTTAAGGCAAGAATTTCCCAGGCAGTTCTCATTATAGGCACCTAAGAGTAATTGTTTTGTACATAATAGAGAATATGCTGCAGTAAGGAAACTGGTATCTGTAACTTACAATTTCTTTGTATGAACATAACTGCTTTTCATCTCTTTAATTTGAAGTCAATCTCTTCTCCTTTTTCCTGAGGAAACGCACAGTTTCATTTGGAAAAGAAGTATTTATAGAAATAAGTATCTTGTTATCTTACAGTTATGTAACCATTTAATTTTTGAGCTGATACTTGGCTTAAGTTTGGAAGGAACCTACTGATTATGTCAACTCTGAATTAGTAAACCTTTGCGCTGTGCCTACTTTGCATTAAAACTGTCATTGGTTGTCTTTTTTCTCCCAGGATAGAGTGTCCCATGTTAAGAAGAAGCTTTTTAAAAAATTACTAAAAAGAATTATTTATTTAATTTTATTTATCGTTTTTTTATTATTTGCTACAGCGTACATGTGCTCATGAGAGAGAGAGAGAGAGACAGAGAGAGTGAAGAGAGAGAGAGAGAGGGAGAGAGAAGAGAGAGAGAGAGAGGGAGAGAGAAAGAGAGAGAGAGAAGGAAAGTGAGAAAGTAGGCCCTCAGATCCGGGATTAACTGTGGTCAAGTGGAGTCCAATACCTTTAACCACCACACCACTTGCTGGCCCCCCAATAAAGCTTTTTAAGCATCTTTATAAAAACTTTTAAAGAATAATTATTTTATTTATTACTATTATTTTTGAGAGATTTTTGCTATATGGTGCGTGCATTTGCTAGAGATACAGAGAGCGACAGAGGGACAGAAAGCAAGAAACCACCTCCCCACCCCAGGGTGGTGGCAACACCACAATCCTTTCTCCATTTTCCTCTTGTGATTTTGGGCATGTATGTACATACGCCTGGTGTGAGTTTAAAGCCCCTGGGTCTGAGACTCAAACTGTGGTTGACTATGTGGGAGTCAAGTGATGTTAACAATTACACCATCTGCTGGTCTCTATTACTATTATTTTTAATTTGATAAAGAAAGAGACAGAGGGTAAGTGAGAAAGCAAGCCACCATGTTCAGGACTTGAACCACGGTCAGCCATGTGGGAGTCTAGCGCTTTAGTCACCTGCTGCCTGCTGGCCCTGGCATCTGGATTTTAATAACATACTCATAGATCTTGTGGGTTTTAGGGCATCTTTTCATAAATTAATATTCTTGGCATGGTAATATTTAAAGTTTAATGTTTTGCAAACTATGCTTTTATTGTTTTATTATAAAAAGAAATATTAATTAACATGTTCAATTTTTCCCTTTTATAGAAAGAATACTCCTGTGGGGAGAGGAATCTTACAGGCCTATTTTGACTCTCCGCCTCCTCTTCCTGTTCTTGTTTTGGTGAATCTACATTCAAGTGGCCATGTATTTGCATTTCCTTCTGACCAGACTATAACTGAACAAAATCTTATATTGTGGCTTAAGAAATTAGAAGCAGGATTAGAAAATCATATCAGTAAGTTTTCTGTTTTGTTTAATATACACAGTTCTGTATTTTGTCTCATAGATTTTAAGCCTTAGAGATAACTAATGAATGCTAGAATAAGTTGAATTGGAATATTTATAAGTATCCTAAATATTAATATGCTGATGGTATTGTTCATGGGATAGTCTGCTTATGACACTAGGAATAAGGTTTTGGTTGTGACTATCAGCTTACTTATGGATGCCTTTTCTCTTTAATTTTAATTCATTGAGTCCATGTTTCTTTCTTTCTTTTTTTTTTTTTTTTGAGAGGTTTTTGCTATAGGGCGCGTGTGCTCGCCAGACAGAGACATAGAGACAGAAAGCGAGAAATCACCTCCCAGGGGGGATGGTTACGCCGCAATCCCTTCTCCTCCATTGTCCTCTTGGGATCTTGGGCACGCACGCACATGCGCCCGGCGTGAGTTTTAAGCCACCAGGTCCAGGACGCGAACTGCGGTCGACTACGTGGGAGTCCAGTGACATAGCCATTATGCTAACTGCTGGTTCCCTGAAGAGGTTTGTGTTATAGGGCACGTGCGCTTGCCAGACAGACAGAGAGACAGACAGATAGAAAGCGAAAAATCACCCCCCAGTGGGGATGGCCATGCTGCAATTCCTTCTCCTCCATTCTCCTCTTGGGATCATGGGCACGCACACACACGCGCGCGGTGTGAGTTTAAGCCGCCAGGTCTCGGACCCAAACTGCGGTCGACTACATGGGAGTCCAGCGATATAGCCATTACGCTAACTGCTGGTCCCATGAGTCCATGTTTCTTATATAAATCCCAATGTCTTCAAAAATACAACTTTTGTAATTTCTCCAGTTAAAAAATAATTATTACAGTGGGGATATTGGCCCTCCAAAGCATAAGTCCTGTGCTATTTTTGTAAAAATTAAAATTGTGGATTTCACAAGACCGTTCTTGTATAGCTTTTTCATATGCTTGCCAGTTTGTTTTCTTCTGTGATGATTAGCAAATAACATACTCGTAGATCTTGTGGGTTTTAGGGTTTTTATAGAAAGTGAGAACATTTTAAAAATAGTACATTATTATTATATGAGTCTCTGGTTCTAAGCATTCTGAAAAGGAACACCTGTCTTTTTATCTCATTCTGAAAGTATCTCTCAGTTCTCCCCTTAACATTTATTATTATTGCTTTCATTGATCAAATGGGTCTACCCTCATGGTTATGATATATCCAACTTTTACATTATAAGCCAGTTATTTTATGCAAAGTTACTGTTGGAATGAAAGTAAAGACCAACATTTATTTATTTATTTATTTATTTTTGGAGAGATTTTCGCTATAGGGTGCGTGCATTGGCCAGACAGACAGAGACAGACATAGAGACAGAAAGCAAGAAATCACCCCCAAGGGGGGATGGTCACGCTGCAATCCCTTCTCCTCCATTCTCCTCTCGGGATCTTGGGCACGCACGCATGCACACGCGCCCGGCGTGTTTTAAGCCACCGGGTCCAGGACACGAACCGCGGTCGACTACGTGAGAGTCCAGCGACTTTGTCATTACGCTAACTGCTGGTTCCCAAGACCAATATTTATTGAGAACATGTTCCCTTTTCAGGCTTGATGCCAATTTCAATTCAGGGATTATCTGATTTATCATCATAACAACCCTGAGTTCTGGGTGGTGGTGTTATATTCTTTTCCAGGTGATAAAACTAAGACAGAGAGACAACTTGTCAAAGATTATTCAACAAAAGAAATACCAGAGTAGGAATTCAAACTGAACATGTACGCTTACACAAATTCCCCAATGTATCTAAGGTATCATTTTGCTTGTTTTATTGACTCTAAGTAAGTATGTAATTCCAATAGCAGATGGCATAGTGGTTACGTTGCTGGACTCCCACATGGCTGACCATGGCTCGAGTCCTGGACCTGGTGGCTTGAAACTCATGCCAGGCACTTGTACATGCATGTCCAAATCCTGAAAGGAGAGTGGAGGAGAAGAGATTGTGGCGTGGCCATCCTCCTTATGGGGGTGATGTCTCATTTTCCCTCTCACTGCCTCTGTCTCTCTCTGGCCAGTGAACACACTGCCCTAAGGCAAAGAATCTCTAAAAAAGTAAAATAAAATCTATTTCTCAGCAGTGTTCGAATATATAATACATCATTATTTATTGTAGTCACCATGCTACATAATAGATCTCTAGAACTTATCCTCCTAATAAACTTGGCACTTTTTGACTAACATCTCCCTATTCCCTGCCCCTCTTCCCAGGCCCTAGGAACCACCATTATACTCTATTTCAGATTCCATGTAAAAATGAGATCATGCAGATTTGTCTTTCTGTGCCTATCTTATTATACTAAGCGTAATGTCTTTCAGGTTCATTCATGTTGTCACAAATGACAGGATTTCCTTCTTTTTAAGGCTGGCTAGTATTTCATTGTACACTACATTTTCTTTATTCTTCCATTAATGAACACTTAGGTTGATTTCATATCTTGGCTATAATGAATAATGCTGCAGTGAACCTGAGAGTGCAGCTATCCCTTCAACGTGATTTAATTTCCTTCCGATATACACCCAGAATGGAATTACTGGGTCATATGGTAGTTCTCTATTTACCTTTTTAAGGAACTACCCTCTGTTTTCCATAATTTATATTTCCACCAACAGTACACAGAGATTCCCTGTTCTCTAAATCTTTACCAACAAAAATAAATAAATAAATAAATAAACAAATAAATTTATCTATCTTCAACAACAGTTGTTATCTTTTGTATTTTTGATGAAAACATTCTTACAGATATGAATTGATATCTCATTGTAGTTTTAATTGGATTTCTCTAATGATTAGTGAGTTTGTTGACCTTTTCATATACTTTGACCTTCTATATGCCTTTTTTTTGAAAAATGTCTATTCAGGTCCTTTGCCCCCCCCCCTTTTTTTATGGTGCATGTGTGTTTGTTTATAAATCAGAGGTGCATGGGCTTGCCTGAGAAAGACAGACAGAAGGAGAGAGGGAATGTACCCCTTAGTGGGGCACACGACCACACTGCAATTCTTTTTCCTGTGTTCCATCATTTTGTCAGGACTTTAGGCATGCATGTATATAGATCCAGCATGTTTTTCAAGCTGCTAGGGCTGGGATTCAAACTGCATGGTTAGTCATGTGGAATCTGGCTCCCTTAACCACTAAGCCATGAGACTGGTTCATGCTCATTTTTAAAGCAGGGTTTTACTTTTGTTTTCTTTTTGCTGTTGAGTTCCTTCAGTTCCTTATATATTTTCAGTTTTAACCTCTTTCAGATATATGGTTTGCAAATATTTTCTCCTATTCCATAGGTTGTCTCTTCACTGTTGATTATTTCCTTTGCTACAAAGATTTTTAGTTTGATGAAAACAGTCCCATTTGTCTCCTTTTTTATTTTTGTTTTTGTTGCCTATTCTTTTGGTGACATCTGGAATATGTTTGCCAAGATCAATGTAAAGAAGCTTTTTCTCTGTTTTCTTTTAGTAGGCTCTTTTAGAAGGTTCAAGGCTTACATTAAAGTCTTCATGCCATTGTGAGTTGATTTTTGTATATGAGGTATGAGATAAGGGTCCAGTTTCATTCTTCTGCATATAGATATCCATTTTTTTTTCCTAGCGCCATTTATTGAAGAGCTGTCCTTTTCACATTGTATAATCTTGGTACCTTTATTGAAGATCAATTGACATAATAAATATGTGGTTTACTTTCTGGTCTCTATTCTGTTCCATTGGTTTATACGTCTGTTTTTATGCCAGCATCATGTTGTTTTATGACTATAGCTTTGTAGTATATTTTAAGACCAAACAGTGTGATGCCTCAAGTTTTGGTCTTTTTGCTCAAGATTGCTTTGGCTATTTGCAGTCTTATGTGGTTTTAGGATTGTTATTTCTATTTCTGTTGTAAATGGGATCATTTTGTTATTTTCTTTTTTCAGATAATCTGTTGGTAGTGAATAGAAATGTTACTGATTTTACTAAATTCATTCTAACAGGGTTTTTTTTTTTGTAATTTATGATATATTACACACATATGTGAGAGAGAGTGGGTGGAAGGGGATGAATACCCTCCACATGTTCTAGTCACATTGCAGTCCCCTTCCTCCAGACCTCTAGCCCACCAGGATCCTGGATGCACATACATGTTCCTGGTGTGTTTTCAGGCTGACTAGGCAGGGTCAGCCTGCCTTGAACCAGGGACAGCATGTGCCTTCCAGCTCCACAGACTGGCTGAGCAGCAGAGGCTGGGCCCTAACTAATTTTTGAGGACTTTCTATCATTTCTGTGATCACTACTGTTATATCTAAGTTATTCCTGTAGCCTCCACCACAAGGAAGAAGAATGCTCAACACTTTATTGAGTCTGCCTAAGTCCTAGCAGGACCTAGTGTCTATCACCACTCTTTGATAGACAAATATCCTCTGAGATGGGGTGGAGTGGGTTGCAGTGATTCTCTGGGAATCATCTAAATCTGTATCATGGTGCCACTGGTGTCTGCCTCACCTTGCTTGTTACACATCTTAATTTCTTTTTAAAAAAGTTTTTTTTTAATTGTTTTTAGAGGTTTTTACCATAGGGCATGGGTGCTTGCCAGAGAGACAGACAGAGACAGTGAAAGGGAAAGTGAGAAATCACCCCTTAGGGAGGATGGCCATGCCACAATCCCTTCTCCTCCATTCTCCTCCTGGGATCTTGGGCACGCACGCACATGCACCCAGCGTGAGTTTCAAGCCACCAAATCTAGGGTTTGAATCGCAGTTTGCCATGTGGGAGTCCAGCAATGTAACCACCATGCCATCTTCTGGCTCACACATCTTTTTTTTTTTGGAGAGGTTTTTGCTATAGGGGGCGTGCGCTTGCCAGACAGAGAGAGACAGAGAGCTAGAAAGTGAGAAATCACCTCCCAGGGGGGATGGCCATGCTGCAATCCCTTCTCCTCCATTCTCCTCTCGGGATCCTGGACATGCATGCACATGTGCCTGGCGTGAGTTTTAACCCACCGGGTCCGGGACGCGAATTGCGGTCGACCACGTGGGAGTCCAGCGACACAGCCATTACGCTAACTGCTGGTCCCTGGCTGACACATCTTAATTTCTGTGAAAACTGTGGCCACTGGGTATTCTTATTTGAGATTTACATTTAACTCTGGTCCAGTTCCCAGGCCTTTCTATGACTTGCTCTTCTCATCTATAAAATTGAGGTAATAATTACAGCTACCTCATGGTAGAGATTACATGAATAACACCTGGCATTTAGTAAATGTTAGTTATTATTATGAATTTGGTGAATAATGTGTTTATTACCCACACACAATCAGAATATACAGTTTTATTTGCAATTGAAAACATTAAGACTTTTGTAGAGTTTCCTCAGGAAGTAATTTGTAGAATTGGGTTACTGAGTTTCAGTCATTTTACCGTAGTCTTAGACCACTAGGCTGCAGTGTTAACCTTAAAAAATAAATATAGCTAAATATTTGTTATGCTTTAAACTGGACTTTTCTTAAAAGTAATTTATATATTTCTGTTTATTGCAAACTATAAAGAATTATTCTTAACTCTTCATTATCAATAAAATATTTTATACCTGTGCCACTTTTAAATATGCTAATTTAGCACACATATTGGCATCATCAGTTCTGTGGGTAGTTTAAATTTAATACCCTGCTGATATACCAAGTCCTAGAATTTTGTGTAATTGAGTCTTAGTGAAGAAATTATATACCAATAAGTAAAGTATAGATATAGAATACTGCATATGTATGCATGCAGATTTTTGTTTGAACTTTAATTCACTATGGAAAATTACAATTGATATGTATTTCCTAAACTTTTAAAGATATTCATTTGATTTATGAGAGATGCTGAAGTTACTATGTTATCAGCATTTAAAATTTTTCCTTCATGAGATGGAGAGGAACAGACAGACACACAGGCAGGCAGGCATCCTTGACAGGGTCTCATTATGCTGCGATCCCCCATCCCAGCTTCACCAGTCAGCCAGGATCATGGATGTATGTGTGCTGTGTGCGTAGCATGTTCAGGTTGACTTGGGATCTGAACCCCTTGTATCCAAAGTGGTCTCTAGCGCTGCAGAGTGGCGCCCTTCTGCTGTGCTACTGACACTGGGCCTGTGAGCATTTATTAATATTTTTGAACAAGTATATATGTGTATATGTTCTTTTATTGAAATTTATTTTTAAAAGGTTTGCTTTGCACATTTTGTTATGCTATATAGTTTATTTCTTGAAATAGTATTTTTAATGAGCCAACCAAATTCAGAAACTTTCATAAAATTTATCTGCTAAATTGAGGAAAGTTAACTAATTTATCTCGTATATGAGTGATATCAATTTTAATCAGTTTTCCTCTTCTAATGGCCAATATTTTCAAAATGTTGAGATTCAATACCATAAAGCTCATCTAAGAAAAATTATACATTTACTGTCTATGGTGTAGTTGATTACACAGAAATTTTAAATTATTCTTTGTCTATAATTAGTTTTATAAAATGAACTTGTTTTCATGAAGTGTATTGCAAACATGTTAATCAAAACAGAATCAAAAACAGAAAATGCTTTAAAATGTAAGAAAACACTTATATAAATAGCAAAATAATAAATAAATATGTTCCAAAATTTTTTTTAGAGGGATTCGTGAAATAGTTAAATTTATTTGGAGATAGAGACTAGAGTAAGGAGGGAAGCAGATTTTTTTTTTTAATTTTTAACTTGTCTGTGTAATTCGTATGTTTCTTTCTTGTATGAGTAAGAGAAAAGGAGAAAGAGACAGAGAGATAGGCACCAACAAGAGGATCCCACCGCAATTTACCCCTGGCCTCAGCCAGCTACAGAGCATGGACATGTGCCTGCCCAGCATGTTCAGGGAGCTCTCTGCATACAAACCCAGAACCTTCCCATGGAGGACAGCCTCTTAGATGCTGTGTTACCACTGCACCATCATCTTGCCCCCATCTGTGTGTAATTTTATTATACATAATATGGTTTCAAAAAACTTCAACAAAGATTAAGTGGAAGTCAGATTATGAACCTTTCCTTCTTATAATAATTCTTTCTTCATTTAGAAAATAATAGCTTATGACCTGGCCCTGTAGCTTAGTGCTTAAGGAAACCAGATTCCACACGACTGACCGTAGTTCAAATCCCAGCCTTCGGGGCTTGAAAAACACAGGGTTTTCATGCACCCGTTTGTGCATCCATTCCCCAGATCCTGGCAGGATGGAGAAATGGAGAAGTGTGGTGTGACTGTGCCCCATTGGTGTGAGGGAGGGTACTTTCTCTTTCTCTTTTTTTGTTTCTCTGTCTCTCACTGGCAAGCACAAACACTCTCTAGCAATTAAAAGAAGAAAGAAAATAATAGCTTGTAAGTGTAATATAAAAATGAAAATGGTTAGTAATGACAAATGTGTCAGGTTCCTTATTGACAGTAACAGAAAAATATGGCTTTGCTTAGGTAAGTGAAAGTAATAAAATATTTACTCCTACAAATGTATTTTTCAAAATGAAACATTTTCTAGTCTATTCATGTGAGGATTTTATAGCCGTTAATCTTTAACCCTTTATCTTCTTTCCAGCAATTTTGCCAGCTCAGGAATGGAAACCTCCTCTTCCAGCTTATGATTTTCTAAGTATGATAGATGCTGCAGCACCTCAACACCCCGCCAGGAAAGTCCCTGAGTGTATGAAAGAAACAGATGTGCAAGAGAATGATAAAGAACAGCATGAAGATAAATTGACAATAAGAAAAGAACCGATTGAAACACTGAGAATAAAGCACTGGAATAGAAGTAATTATTTAAAAGGAGCAGAAAAATCATTTAGACATGATAAAGAGTTATGATGTTCACAAGTGAGCTGATTTCATAGGGCTGTGCTTTCCAAAATCTGTTTGGCTTATTTGATAATTTAAGAATTTATTTCATTAAGGAATAATACTAGCTCATTTCAAGTGCTTAGTTCCATGCCATCCAGTAATAGACTTATCATACAAGTCATATAGTAACTTAAACTTTTCTAGTAGCTACAATGAAATAAAAGAGCTAAAATGAACAGGTAAAATTAATTATTATTATTATTTTTTTTTTGGAGAGATTTTTGCTATAGGGCGCATGTGCTCGCCAGACAGACAGAGACACAGAGACAGAAAGCAAGAAATCACCCCCCAGGGGAGATGGCCATGCCCGAATCCCTTCTCCTCCATTCTCCTCTCGGGATCTTGGGCATGCATGCACATGTGCCCAGTGTGAGTTTAAGCCACCGGATCCGGGACTCGAACTGTAGTCGACTACATGGGAGTCCAGCGACATAACCATTATGCTAACTGCTGGTCCTAGTGAAATTAATTTTAATAATATATTTCACCCAGTAAGTATACTTGAAATGGCCCAGTTAATATAACATTATTAGTGAGGTATTTTACATCATTTTACATCTCATAACTTGAAAATATTTTACAGCATTTCTCACTTAATAATATCCATATTTAAGTGCTCATTAGATAGCTACATTTGACTTGGGACTACTATATTGGGACAGCTCAGTACTAGACAAAAGCTAGTATAATTAATTTAACTTACTTCTGACCATGATATATTATTTGGATTAAAATAATTTAAATTGTGGCATGGTGGTGAAGGTACTGGACTCCCACCTGGCTGACTGCAGTTTGAGGCCCAGACATGGTGGCTTGCTTTCTCACTTTCTCTCTCTGACTCCCTTTGGTCAAATTAGAAAATAATGATAATAAATAGAATTAAAGAAGATAATTCTTTAAAAAATATATAACTATAGTTTTATCATAGTCAACTCCACACTGGAGTTGTACAGCTGGCAGAGGTATTTGTTTTGTGGTAGTGATTTTGCTGAAACCAGTGTTTCTCAACCAGCAGGCAGTTTCCCCCTCCAGAGGGCGATTTCAGGAGACATTTTTGATGTTATAACTAGGAGTGCAACTGGCATCTGGTGAGTAGAGGCTGGGGATGTTGCTAAATACCCTGTATCGAACAGCTTATCGAAAGAGAATTATCTGGCCCAAAGTGTTGGTAGTGCCAAGGCTAAGTAACCCTGTGGTAAACTAACCAGTGGCAGACTAAGCTTCCTGAATTTTCTGTCACTATATAATGACAGGGAAAGATTAGACCAAAATTAATTTTTCATTCCAAATCACTTTCTTGTTAGACTTCCCTCTTTGTAATACTTGTTTATCTCACTGTTTGTTCTGTGCATTTTTTGAGCCATTTGTTGAGAATGTCCTACTTCGTACTCCACTATGTTTCTCCTTGTAAGGGGGTCTTTTTCTTTATAACTTTTCCACCTATGATTTGCCTAATATTGAGTTTCATAACTGGAATTTAAGAAATCATAAGCAGCTAAATTTTAATAAATGTATGTGATATATTTCATTGTAGATAGACCATTTACTACTTTTATCACCCTCTGATTGATTTTTTTCCTTGTAGCATGAAATGCCATACTAATTCAGTTCATCCTTATCTGTTTTTATTTCTGATATGATGTGAGAGTGAACTACAAATATAGTTTGTAGTAGTAAAACATCATTGGCCTTATCATTAAAAAATGCTAATTAGCCACAGACATGTAGAAACACGTGATTGATTAATCATTGTACCATACCCAGCAATTTTGACAGTCATTGACATATGTTCTTTTAATTGTAAATAAAGTGTCTGGATTTTAGGCTGCCTTCAAAAGCTTTCTGTAACCTCTATTCTACCCTCTATTGAACCACTTAACTAGTATCAGTTGGTTTTCTTCAGTTACGAGCAACAGAAATTCAGCTCTGACTAAGCAAAATGGGAAGATTGGTTCATAGACACAGGATAAAAATTAAACCAGGCTTTAAAAAGATTGGAACCAAGGCTGTTTTGGAAACTGTGTGGCAGGAACTAACAGCTCCGTTATGAATTGATTCCAACTATTTTTCTATCTTTTGTGACTAAGGAAATCCTGGAACAGTTGGTTGAATGAAGACTAGGCACTTTAACTGACAACCCTAACAAGACTTCCACAATACAGGAGAGGTAAATCTCACAAAAGAAATTGAAATTCTGTTTACTAGGAAAAGGAAAAGTGAATGTGAATAGGTAAAAATAATGAAGAAATAGAAAATCCTTTAGACACCACTTGCTACTTTTTTTTTTTTTTTTTTTTGGAGAGGTTTTTGCTATAGGACGCGTGCGCTCACCAGACAGACAGAGACATAGAGACAGAAAGTGAGAAATCACCCCCAGGGGGGATGACCATGCCGCAATTCCTTCTCTTCCATTCTCCTCTCGGGATCTTGGGCACACACGCATACGTGCCTGGCGTGAATTTAAGCCACCGGGTCTGGGATGCGAACTGCGGTTGACTACGTGGGAGTCCAGCGACATAGCCATTACGCTAACTGCTAGTCCCAACCACTTGCTACTTTCTGTCTGTCCTTTGTATCCTTTCTGGTCTTTCTGTCACATCTCATCTAGTTTTTTTTTTTTTTTTTTTTTTTGGAGAGATTTTCGCTATAGAGCACGTGCGCTCGCCAGACAGACAGAGAGAGACAGAGAGACAGAAAACGAGAAATCACCCCCCAGGGGGGATGATCATGCCACAATCCCTTCTCCTCCATTCTCCTCTTGGGATCTTGGGCATGCATGCACACGTGCCCGGCGTGAGTTTTAAGCCACCGGGTCCAGGACGCGAACTGTGGTCGACTACGTGGGAGTCCAGTGACATAGCCATTACGCTAACTGCTGGTTCCCTTGTCATCTAGTTTTGAGCTTAAAAAGCTCTTCCTACCCAAAGAGATTATTTTTTTCTTTATGTTCCCCTTGTTCCTTTCATAGAGTTGGTGACCAGTGTGCATCTGTACGTTCTGCATAATGTCTTCATCTCTCACGAGTCAGATTCTTTGACCCTCTCCTCCTCCACGCCTGTGCTAGAAGGTGACTGTCCCTGGTTCATTGCTTCCAGCTCCTCTAATAAAATATTCCATGGGTTGTTTTTACAGAATTCCTGGAGTTCATCAAACTCATGCTTCTCTTAAAAATTAATTAGACATGTGTAAGCTTAGCAGATAGAATTTGTAGATCAGTAAGTATCTTATCGTTGGTAGTAAAGTGACCAAATAAGGACACATTGGGAATTGTGCTGTAGTTAAAATATGAAAAGCTGCAAGAGAATGCTCCTTCCACCCTCACAATAAGAATAGAAGTCATGGGACCAGCAGATGGTGTAATGGTGTGGTTGGTGGACTCCCACGTGGTTGGCCATGGCTTGAATTCTGGATCTGGAGGTCCAAACTCATGCTGGGCTCATGTGTGTGCATGCTCAAAATCCCAAGAGGAGAATGGAGGAGAAAGGATTGCTGAATGGCCATCTCCTCTGGTGGCCGGGAGGGGGGAGGGGTGGTGATTTCTCACTTTCTGTCTGGCGAACGCATGTGCCCTGTAGCAAAAATCTATCTCAAAAAAAATAAAAATAGAAAAGAAGTCATAACCTTTTAAAAACTCATTAGAGAAAGTAGTCAAAAGAACTGAATTACAAAGAGTGAAGCCACGTGAAGCCCCTTCAGAGAGAGACAGGATACATGAACTGCTTGATTTTTGGCAGAGTAGGAAGGTGCCACTAAACAAGTACAAAGAAATCATCAAGAAGTTTATTTTACCATATGTGTAAGTTAGAATCAAAGATTTCAGAATCAAAGAAAAGGCCTTTATTACTCACACCAGTAGCATTTATCAGAGCGTAGCATTTGTGCTGGCCCCCTGATCCTCAATCCCACAGTGCAGTGTGAAGAGCATGAGAGATCCATGCAATATTGCCTACTGACAGAAATAACTAAATGTTAAAGGCTGAGTGGGTAATAGACATTATTTTAGAATGAGTGAGAGCTCCCGACAGGACAGTGGTTCACATCTGCTCAGTAGCTTCATTCCCCAAGCCTTCTCTGGGTGCCAATGAGAAAGATTGGGGCAGAGACTGGTGAAAAGAGGACCCTTGGTGACACAGGCATACGGTGGTGGTTGATCAAATGATACTGGTCGCAAGCACAAAATACTACTTGCTTCCTTGGGCCTTTCTCTTGTACAAAGCAAAAGCTGCTAGCCACTGGAGAAGAGCTGGTAGAAATTCTTGCCTTAATTAATGGCTCAGGCAAAGATCCACTGCTTTTGGAGGTGGCATAAAAGCAAAAACCTTTTGCCTCTGGGAAAGGCAGAAAATCTCATGGGTTCAGGATCTGCACCTGTTCCAAGCAGAGACCCACTCTTACAGGGAGAAGTACAAGAAAATCTTTCCTGTTGATGAACTTCAAAAGCTGGTAAGCATGTAATTACAAGTTTTAATAACACAGGAGTATGCAGAGTGTGGTGATACAGAATGATTGTGATTTGAGGGATACCTACTTATCCAGAGTGGTGAGGTACATATTCTCTATGCGGTGATATTAAAGCCTGAAAGATAAGAATGTCAGTCATCCTAGAGCAGATGAAAGCATCCTAGATAGAACAGCATCTGGAAGACTCAGGGAAGATTTGAGCTTATCTGAAGAATGGGATGGAGTCTAATGGGCAAGGGGAACAGTGAAGAGATAAAGATGAGAGCTGAGAAGAAGCAAAATTCTGTGAGGTCTTGGAGCCATGGGAGGTAAGACATTTGAATATTCTATTAAAATAGGGCACCGAGAAGTAGGGGGGGTGACATGATAGGATGCAAAATTTTACAGTATTCTGGTTGCCATAGGTATGGCCATGGAAACAAAAAGAAAAAGGTGAATTTGAGCCGTGTTTTGGCAGTTTATAACTTGCAAACCTTACTAATAGATTGAATCTAGGGTTTGAGAGAAAAGGAGTCACAATGACTTCATTTCTGATATTAGCAACCGAAAGTACGTGGTGACATTTACTGAAATGGGGACTAGAGAAGATGGAGTGGTATTGAGAATAGACAGAAAGTTCAGTTTTCTCCATATAAGATTGTAAAACCTATTTGATTTCAAGTTGACATTTGGATACTTGAATCTCTAGAGCTCAGTGGAGAGATTTTCTTTCTTGAGTCAATAAATATTGATTGTGTGTTGTCTATCAGGAACTGTTTATGGCTGTGTGGATAAAACATGCCCCTTCTGCACTTACATTCTAGTGTAGGGGAGATAGAATTTGAACAACTAAATAAAAACTTAGGAGATGATAAGAGTTATTCAGAAAAATAAGGCAAAGGAAGACAGAGAGTAGTATGAGAGATTTTTAAGAAATAAAATATGGTTAAGGAAAGTTTCCCTGCTAATATACTTGAACTAAAAACTAGAAAACAAAGCAAGGGAGAAAATTTTTAGGGTTATCTGTGCTCAACCCTGTTACTGAAAACAATTTAAAATGCTAGATGATTTTTTAAAAATAGCTTTCTTAAAAGGATTGAAGGGCTGACAAAAGACCAAAAAACTTATTAGGCCAAAAGTGAAAGCAAGAAACCAGAGAAGTAAAGAAAGCACTTTAGGTACTTTTTCCTAAAAGCATTTGTCTATGTGGCTAACTCACTCAGCTCTTATCTGTATATTCCTCTAAGTTATTTTGTTCTCACTATTTTACCAAAAACACAACAAATTCAACAATATAAAAATCCTTATACATTATTAGACTGGAAAATTTTAATGCTTCTCATTTTAAAATAAGTGCTATAATTTCTTTGTATGTAGCTGTTACATGTAGGACAATCTAAGAGATTGGGATGAATGAACAAACAAACAAAAAGGAATCCTGGCTAATTTTTGAGAGAAGCATCTGTCTGCTTAAATAAACTACTTGTTTAAAATGTAAAACATAAAAAGTAGATATAAATACAAAAATAAAAACATTCACTCAAATTTCTATAGCCACCAAATGTCTCCATTGGAGTTGGGCTGAAGATGTCTCCCTCACCCATCACCAACAATACCTCTCCTACTTTTCCATCGCCATCCCTTGCCAAGCTGCCTGCAGTGAGATTTCCAAGTTCACTTCAGGGCCCCAACCTGATCCTGCCTGGCCCAAGAGGCAACTGGAAGCAGTGTGCGTGTGTGTGTGTGTGTGTGGTGGCGGGGGAGAGCTTATATCCTAGCTGATGTCCCTAACCCAAATCAGCTTTGCCATGGAGGCCAAAATCTTCCATGGTTTACTCCATATGGGTATACCTGAGGTAAAGGTGAACTTAAAAAAAGAAAAGGAAAAAACTCCTTCTTTACCTCTGCATACAGAGCTATACCAGAGAAGGTATTTTGATGCCAAGTAAGCAAAAAAAAAAAAAAAGCAAAAAGCAAACCATCCCTGAGAACTTGTAACTATATCCAGCCCTTGAGATTTGCAAAACAAATTGACATAACCAATGTAGTTCAAAAAACCTCAAGTGATGAATTCAGTTTAAAATGGTCCCAAA